ATTGTAGAGTGCGCAGCGCCCGTGTCTGTTGTGTCCCCGCAGGCTGCTGCCGAGCCAAGGCACCTCCTGCCGTGGTATATTTATAAATGGGGCCGGTAGCCCGACCGCTGTGGTCGGCTGCCGGCTTGGCGCCGAGGTCAAACACCGGAATCAATCCCTCCTCGACGCCCTGGCGCAGACGGCCAGGTGCTGCAGGCGCTCCTGATGTTGCTGGGCCTGCCCGAAGCCCCGCTCAGAATCATCTCGCATGAGCCTGGGTCCAGTTCACTGAGGTCACGCCTCGGGAAGGGAAGTTCGGCTCGTCGTCCTGATCATCGCCATCCTGAGGTTTCTCCTTAGGCGTGGGTGGCAGCACACGCAGCTTGACAAGTCGGCACAGGCGCTGGCTGCGCGGCCGCGGGCCAATCTCCGTGCAGATGGGATAGTGCTGCCGAGGTGGGGATCCGCCAGCTCGCGATGGTGTCGGCATGGTGGCAGCGAGAGTCAGAGGCCAGCCAGTAGTCCAACGTTGAGTGGATGGCTGTGGCGGGGTCCTTGTAGGTGCCCTCCTCAGAAGCAACTGCCGTGGCCCGCAACCTCAATGGAAGGTCAGACATCTGCAAGACATCTGGTGGCGTGTTCCAGTCACCTGCCATGGCAAACGGTGTGGCGCAGTAGCTGAGGCACCCGCCGATGGTGCGGAGGTAGTCCACGTTGACACCGCTCAAACGGGGCCCCTGCTGCAGGTACGTCGAGCCAACAATGAGGCCACCACGGGTCCCAGACTGAATCATCATGACCACGCTGCGCCCTGGGATAAGCTCATGCGTGGCAGCGAAGGCCTGCAACGGCACCGCGTTGATATGCCTCCGAACGAAAAGCCCAACCCCACCAAGGGACTTACCGTCATCACTGAGTTGCGCGTTGCTGATGAAGGCCTGCCAGCCTCGCTTCAGGCACTACTCTTCAGCGAGAAGCCGACGTTGGCCTTGCAGGTGGAGCTTTTGACCTGCTACAACCTTTAGGTGGCGCATCTGATCGGTCGCCGCTCCCTAGCGCTGCTGCGCAATGGTCTGGCACAGCTCCTTGTAGTGCTTGGTGAGCGACTCGAGGTAGGTGCTCTCGTTCCCTGCGGAAGCCGTGGACGCGCTGTTGACGATGTGCCCCAGGTGAGCGACAGCAACATCCACATCGCGATCCCCGCTGGCGAGCGCGTCGGGTCGAGCTCCTGTTGCGAGAATCGCTGCTCGCGCCATGGCCACCGCAGAATCCACGATGGCCAGCTCGGCTGTGGCGGCCTCGAGCTCAGCAATCTTCGCGTCGAGCTGCTCTTTGAGCTCTGCCACCTGCTCGCGAAGCTCCGTGACATCACGGCTCCGCTGGGATTGCCGATCCAAGGCCCGGCGAAGGAGGTCGTTTGGCGTCCTGGTAGCCAATTCGGCCGCCTCTGCCTCCTTGGAGCTCCTTCTTGGCCGCCGCGAGGAAGGGGGCTGCCATCCTCCAGTCCCAGGCGGCGGAGCGCGCCGAACGCCTTGCAGGCGCGGGCCACCGCATCGGAGGCGGCGACTGGGGGCTCCTCGGCAGGCTCCTCATCGCCTCCCCCGCGATCCTTGGCATGCTCCCTGGGGCGGCTGGGCTGACGGGTGCGCCGTGGAGGCGCGGGGGAGCGCGCAGGGCGCCGCTCGGGCGGGCCATCGGGGGGAGGCTTGCCCGCGCGGTCCCTGCCGCAGCGATAGCATCGCTGGTTGGATGCATAGCTCTTCGTACAGTCGCATTGACGAGTAGCCACACAGCTCCAGCGAGGATCGATCAGCTTCTTGTTGTCATCCTTGCGACCTCGAGTCGGCATCCACGAGCTGTGGCCGTGATGCTCAGCGAGCGAGGTACGCGCCGCTTCCAGTTGTAGCAGCCGTCGAGACAGTGACCGCCGCCGCTGAAGACGCTTGTGCCAGGCTGGGGAGGGTGTCCTTCCACGCGTCGTGCCGCAGCGCCGCGGGAGCCGCCTCCTGGGGCGGCAGCAGCACCGCAGCCGCCAGGCCACGGAAGCGCAAGGGTCCATCGCGCGCGGCGGGCGCCCTGCTGAAGGAAGGGTGGAAGCGCGCCCCCCTTGACCCCTAGGAGGCGGAGGAGGAGGAGGAGGAGGAGGAGGAGGAGGAGGAGGAGG